TAATGAGCTTCGAATATGTTAAAATATAGACAAACAAAGAAACGTATTTTTTATAAGTGCTGAGCTGCATGTTAAGGGGGTCAAACTTCCTTTAAAAAAAAAAATCGAATTTTTTTCTTTCGCAGCGAATATCGTCAAAACTATAACAGGAAAAAAAAGTTTTATACAAAAGTTGAATTGCTTCAGGAATACTTTATAAAGGAAAAAACAAATTTTTTTATATTTCCTTTTAAATTTTCCCATCACTTCATATCTATATTTTTAATTTTGAAAATTTTTAATGATCAAATTAATGGTTAATTTTATACAAATTTAACCATGTATAATAAACTTATTTTCCGAGATATCATTTTTGGAAAATAATTATAAATCCTTATGTATACATGTTATCTGTCCGTACGCTTGATTCTTTACGCTGAATGGATTCGTCTCATACTTTGTTGACTACGCAAGAGAATAAGTCAGTATAGTATATTGAATACTTTAAAATATAAGTTTTATATTAAAAATAATAACAATAATAATAACAGTAATAATAATAATAACAATAATAACAATAATAATGATAATAACAATAATGACAACAATAACAATAATAAGAGTAATAATAAAATAACAGTGAGTATAACAGTGAGTTTATTAAATCGTTCAAATCAATCAAATATTTAGATGATTTGATAAAATATGTACTGAATACTTTGGACAATTAAAAACAAATTATGATTAAAAAATTGTATTTACAAAATATCGTTTATTCAATTTTGATTGTAGACCAGCTAATTGAAATGATCAATATATTTTATTGGCTAACATGTATTCGTATCGCATAATTTTATTATCATAATCTTGTTGCAACACTGTGAAGGAATTTGCTGACACATAGTTGTATCTATGTTAGTTGCGTTTCAATATTTATTGATAATACAGAAAATTTATAATATATATGACACGAACTATATTTCCAGTACTGGCAGTAAACACCGGAACGCACCTATTATTAATACGAACAGTGATATAAAAAGGTGCAGATTGTTACAGCGAATTCGCAATTCGATACTGATATTCGTTCCATTATATTCTATAGTTAACAAGTATCAGTTGTGAATGATGTAAAGTCCCTAATAGCACTCGTATATTCTGAGAACGTTCCATAGGATATCATACAAGTATATTCGAGATATTCTCCGAACATTCGAAATACATACTGCGATATACTGTGGAATGTACTTAGATCGTTACTACCGCTCACTAAGCTAATCCCTTTAGTATGTACTGGAGAATATAGTATGGCCATAGGATGGAAAGAGTAGTATGGCCATAGGATGAAAATTATTTAAAAACGGTATATCATGTAGGGCATGCATAACAATATTCCAGATAGCCATAGCGTGAAAATCTATAATATACGTGACCTCTTACGGAAAATAAGTGAAAAAAAATGAAAAAAATGAGAGAAAGTAATGAAACATTTTTTATCTTGTATCATTGCTTGTTTTTAAAACGGCCATTCTGCTCGATGCTGCTTAATTTCTATAATGGGATGAAACCTGCAACCTGCAACTGAAATGATGATATAAGTGAACATGGAATTTTGACATAAAATATGATATTCGCTTAATGAATATTATTATATTGTCATATAAATAGTCTTAATTTTAAAATCTTGATTGCATATGTAATTCTTGTGGATAATTTAATTACATATATACAAAATGTCCCATAACTCTTAATTAATATTTAAAGGAGTGAA